GTTGTTCAGCTSTGYAGAGAGAGCTCWAAATTCATYCTCCCAGGWCAAACTCAGGAGCAGAGRARGGGGAAAAAAATCTCACCTTCAGCCTTCTGTTTTGGGGGAGCAGCACAGCGAGAGCCCAGCCCAGAGCTCTCCTCTTTCCCCTTCATTTGTATACAAGGTTTGTGTGGACAGGAGAGGGATTATAACGCCAAAAGAGATGAATAGTGTCTACCAAGTTTTTTTATTCAGGCTACGGTATTGACCTATATCTGCTTYATAAAGGTGAAAAAACATGGATAGCTGTGTGGGTTGAGCAGGAGCATCTTCCTGCTGCCAGCTGGCAAACAGCTTGGGGATTACAGCATGAGGATTAATAGCCTTTGTCATTTGTAAGTGCAGATGCTAACCTTACTCATATGACAGACTGATCTCCTTTGGATTCTGTGCCTGTTTGCTGTTCCAGAAAGATGACCTTGGGCTGCTGTGAGAGACAAAATATTTACACATTCATTTCTTAGAGCCCACAGCGTAGGTTGCAAGAAGACACGAGCTCACTCTGCACTGAAAAAAAAAAAAAAAAAAAAAAAAAAAAAAAAAAAAAAAAAAAAAAAAAAAGCTGTGTGCCTTCAGCAGATCTGGAGCTCAGGAGTCATGCAGAGAAGCTGGGTTTCAGCTCAGGCTCAATGCCACTGCAGCCCGGCTGTGCTGCTTTCTGGAGCAGGGAGTGAGCAAATTCCCAGCTCTACAGCAGCACGAGCACACCAAGAGCCTTCTCCTCCTGCCTCTCTCCCCCRCCGCCACCTTCCCACCATTGCTCGGGGTTTTCATTTCTTGCATGACAGCTTGTTAAATCTGCATCAGATCCCAAATAAACAGCCCGACCACTATGTGGGATTATCTGGATGTCTTTCCAAGCTTTAGGATCTGCCAGCTTCTGCTGCTTGTATCACAGAAGCAGATGAGCTCAGAGCCAGCGCCGCTTCCTGGGATATGAGAACGCATTTGTTGGGGTATCACATGCTGGAGGGAAAAACCTGCCTCATTCAAAGCGTGAGCTTTTCTACAAACCCTGGCTGATTGTTTTTTTCCCCTCAAACCATAGCTGCAAACATCACACTTAGCACATTTTAAATGGAAAGGGGGTGTTCCTGCATACTAATTCCTGCAGGCTCCGTTGTCCTTCTGCAGAACATGATGCCCATGAAAAATAAAAAAARGAAAAAAAGCAAACACAGRACAGGTTGTTTCTTCTGTCATTAACTTGGTCCACACTGAGGTGAACGSGWGTCACTGCTCTGTAAATATTGAAGKGTCACAGCCCAACCAAGAAGCTTCAAACTCCACGAGGGGACAAGAGAGCAGGGAGAAGAGGTCTTGATCGGGATCATCACAGCTTTAGGATGACCCCTCTGGAGGGGACAGTGTGATGTGGAAGGCCATATTCTGTGCTCAGTCTTCTTGCCCACATTTCGTGCTGAAGGGCAGAAGGCAGCTGAGAGGCAGAGAGATGAAGTGCTGTGATCACACACAGATTAAAGACGATGATAAATATGGGAGCGGAAAGCAAGCTCTGCAGGSACACCAGCGCCAAGGTCACTGCCAGCTCCAGCTGAAGGGGAAAATGAACTGCCACCAGAGGAAACGCCTGCTCCTCTGCCAAGCTGCCACCTTCGGCTTTGTGCTGGGAAAATGATCAATAGCAGCTGGCAGCCTTTGGATCTGTGCATCCAGGAACATCTGACGACATCCATGACTGAGGATCAGTCGGCTCTGTAAAGCACCAAATAACTCCTCGGGATCTGCAGCTGCTAAAAATACACCCCAGCATTGTCCACGTACCCCAGGAGCCGCACAGCCCTCCCTGCCCCTGAAGGGAAAGGCAGACAAGGCAGAGCAACAGGAACCAGCAGCACACAGCGGGGTCCAGCTAATTAAAGACCCCGGTAAAAAGGAAACCCAAACAAATCAAAGGATGAGGAAGATCATCCAGATAAAGCCTTTGCAAATGGGCACTTCAGCGAGCCGTGGCTGTGGCTCAGCGGGCTGAAAGAGGAGCTCGTTTCTGTGGGCATCACTTGAAGATCACCATCGTTATGGGGAATATAAACAGGGTGAGATCACTCTGTTCTGCTGTCGATAAACATCAAAAAAGGGAAAATAAAATAGCAGCAGAGAGCTTGGCAGGACAGAGGCATTCTGGCTCGGGAGAGAACAAGGAAAGAGCAGACTGCAAACCAGMTGAACAAMGCTGGTCAAGATGCAGAGATGTACYCRGGGCACTYGCCCATAAWACCCTGGGCCYGTGCCAGTGCAATTAATTCCTCCCCACACAATGGTTTTGTGGGTTTTTAGGCTTTTCCTTTTTTTCTGGAATGAATTATCTCAGAAAACATGAGTGCATTAGGAAACATCCATAATCTGGACCKGCAAGTGCCCAAGCATCCCAAAACCAGGTTAGTTATTCATTCCTATCCCACTCTCTGAACTCCCCATGGCCCTCCCACAGCTCCTCTCTCCTCCTGGAACCCCAGAGAAGCAGAGAGTATCAATATCCACATGGAGAAGGCGAATGGAGCACAGGCTCTACCAGCCATCTGCAAGTCAAGTGAGAGTCGGGATACCCAAGGAATGGAAAACTTCCAGGAAATTCAGTCTTGCCAGCCACTTCCAAGGGAAGCAAGGGGTTAAAGCAGTGACTGAAAGGGCAATGGTGTTTACATAAGAAAGACCATGAGCACAAGCCCAGCCTGTATCAATATTAGCAGTGACTAATTCAATCTGTCAATGGGAAGAATTGCAGGAGCTTTGGAATATGCCAGAGCTGCTGCAAAGCTTTCAGTTCACAGACAGTCAATAATGGAAGGGGGAATAAACCACAAAAGCAATAAAAATCCCAAAATACAGCTAGCACGAGCACCTCCAGCACCTTGTTCATCCCAAGATTCCTGAATTTCTCCATTGCTTTAGWAGGAATATGAAGAACCCCACAAATGCACTTCTCAAGGCATGGATGGACCAACAGTTTTGGGTCCCTGCCACACCTCTTCCCCCTCCCTCCAAAATTCTCTGGTAAAATACAGTGTAAAATGTCGCAGCAAGGATGCAGCAACCTGCTTCTCTTGAACAGCAAAGTTTCAGCATGTGCTTAGATATCGACTTACTCTAAGTAGGCTGTTTTCACTTGCTCTCCTCTGACTCCAAATACTCTACCCTGAAATTACATATATTAAAATTCAATTCCCCKAATGCTGTATCTTCAGGAAAGATCTTAATGTGAAAACAGCATGGAAGTCCAAACCCAGTGCACTTCATTGTTTTTTTAAAATTATCTTTTTCATTAGATTTTCTTTTTAATCATACCGTTATAAATCTGGGTTATCTCCAGTTCACTGCTGAAATCTATTATCAACTTACACTTTTCCCTTAGCTAATCATGAAGCATAGGCAAGCTTTGCAGGTTCAAGAAGTTCTGAAGAGAATCTCAGTAAGTTTATTACACACACACTTTCCAGGTAATAAAATTAATTATAAACACTTGCATATACATTTTATGCAGTACAGGGAAAAAAATATGGAGATATTGGAAAACAACTGGAATTAGCAAACGCACCTTTTGAATTGGGCTGTTTCCTCTACTTTTTCATTTTTCCCAGGAGAAAAGTGTTTGATAAAAAGAATTCTATTCTACTGGTTACCACTCAGATGTTCACTTTTTCTTGCATTGGTGACACAGCAGCATTAGCAGTGCAGTCAAGAGTGCATTTGTTGGGTGAGCTGCAATTGGGCTGCATCCTGCTTTGTTTTGCAAAGCCCCAGAATGCAAAGCAGACATGCCAGCTTATCTGGACAGTGGAGGAAAGCCCTCCTGCATAGGATACCCATCAGTCTCCCTGGAAAAATTGTGCTCAGACAGGTGATAGGGATGTACAAAAGCGTGGCCTGTAGAGTAACTTTTATCATCTGTGCCAGAAGTGCTTCTCGGTGCAGATTATTCTGTCTGCCCCCCTGAGGACAGACAGAGCCTGTGTGTGACACCAAGTGACAACCTGGGAGTGTCACAGCACTGCCCTCAGCGCCTGTCTACCCTGGATGTGATGAAAACCAGCACCAAGGACCAATTTTGGTCGAACAGCCAGTGCCAAAATTTGCATTAGTTAGATTTGCACAGCACCTTGGAAGCGAAGGATGTGGCTGTGGTGCAGGAGGAGGCAGAATTTAGTGCCAGGTCTCAGTAAACGACAAAAACAAACCATGAGGTGATTCAGTATAGACAAACCTCTTCAGCAAAATATTTCCYGTGTCTTGCTGTCATCAGCAGGAAAGGAGAAATGGCAGTCCTCTCCTAGATTGGGGATCTCAGCATCTCACTGCCAACATTCCAGCAGGGATGAACATCCTCCTTGGTGTCACAGAGCGCTGAAACAACAACCACTTAGCCAGGCAGCAGGCTGAGACACATCCTCTATCCATCAGCTCCRTGACTCCAGCTCACAGACACAGCAAAAGAGATTAAAGTGGGAAAGGACAATGCAGCCTGAAAAGCGACCACGTGAAAGTGTCATCACCTCATCCAGCAAGGCTGCTCCTTGCACTGTGCTCGGTTGGAGGCAGGAAGCACAATCCTTTTCTCTGGTGCTGGTTCAGCAGAGCTATCAGCCCCTCTGGGAGGGGACTCTGGATGCTGTTCCTGGCCTGCAAGAGAGCTCCTTCCCAAGGTTAGGTGACATGGTCTGGCATCCTCTGCTGCTCAGCATGCCAAAACCTGTCCCCTCTCACAYCCCAAGGAGTTATTACAGGATAGCACAGGAGATTTGAAGAAGAGCCCTCAGCAAACTGAGTAGTGCTTTGCTGAATCCCAGAGAAACCACGGATATGAAAACTTCCCCTGTAATGCTCACAGAAATGCTTTTCTGAACGAACCTCACTTCTGAAAACCACATTAAGATGGGCARAACAATGCAGAAAGGAGTGATTCAGGCACAAAGGTGGATGTGCAGTTTGTTCTGGTCTTTTTTTTTGGTATTTGTGATGACAGAAGCCATAACTTCAAGTAAACATATAAACATGCATTGCATAATGCAATATAAAACTGMTGCTTGTTATCTCTTGTGCAAACCCATGGCGATGCAGGCTAACAAGTGCACAGGGTGCCTAACTAAAAATGCCAGTAGTATTTAGTCCTTTTATCAATTGTGAGTACAGGAGAACAGTAGTAATGTCTAGGCACTTAAAAGTTGACAGAAAATTCAAGAGTGCTTTCTCATGCTGCCTGAAAAATATATCATCCAGTCTACAGTGGTATCAAATGCTTATTTCCAGGACTTAAAAACACGATAATAAAAGGGAGAGGATGTGATCTGCATGCAGGTTAGCTTTTCTGCGAGCTATCYGCGTGGCAAGAATATTTGCAAACTTCATTAATATAAATAAGGGGAGAGAGGGAAGAGAGAGTTTACCCCAGAAGAAAACAGCATCACCTCAGAATCAGTCTGTGATGGTTAAGCCTGTGACAAAATGAGCAAGACAATGGCAAAGGATGGGATTTTGCAGGTATTCCCGCTGCTTCTCGCTGGGRTTAATTACTTGGATGTAGAAAATGCAGGACAAGCTGGAAAGGCAAGAACCAAACATGCTTGCCAGGCCTTGCCACCTTCAAAACCCGCGATTGCTGACACGGAGCAGTCAGGTTAAAGCTGTGTATGCTCGTCACAGCAGAGCTGCTTTCTGCTGACAGAGAACAAGGTGAGGCACCCTGCAGGCTGTCCTGGGTGCCACTAGGACTCCAGCAGCGTGTGCCACCTGCAGACCTGTGTCCCCTGCAACTCCTTCATCTCCTGCCAGTGGCTCTGCTCCTCCTCCCCGCTGCTGTTCTGGCCCATGGAGATCCAGCCGATCATCTCCTTGCGCTTCATGGTGCGCCTGTTGTAGATGGAGATGAGCAGGGTGACGTCAGACAGCTGGAACAGGGCCACCTGGAAGATGAAGGTTTCYTTGTAGACGGGGTTGGGCTGTCCCCGGCGGATGGAGGTCTTGCAGCGGGACATCTCCTGACCCACGGAGTTGCGCAGGCAGAGCTTGCCATAGGTATCTGAGAGCAAAAAAGGGGGAATTGCATGATTGGTACAGGTGACAGACTAAATGAAAGCCCTGGATGGTCAAAAAAAACACCCCAAAAATCATCCAAGTGGAGGAGCTTAGCCTGCAGTGAATAACAGATGAGSGCTGGATTGGGCTCCTTGGTAAAATCCACGGGATGAGAAGCAGAAGATGAAAGCACCTCTTGGATWTTCTCACGTTCAGCTGGGGACAAAAGAAAACTGATGCATTTTTCAGCCCTACTCCCTTGGAAAAAAACAGGATATCTGGTATCCAGTCCTAGCAGACCTGTCTAAGATTAACCAAAACTATGAGCATCTCTAAGGATYCTGCAAAGCAGATGGTGTCTCCACCTTCCCTCCTTCTCTCTCACAGTGAAGCCTCACTGGGSCTGTTTTACCCAGGCTCCCTTGGCTGCCTCTGCCCCTCCACCATTCTGACCACTCTGACCACTCTCGCCACTCTCCTGTGGAAGAACGTCTCTGTGACCTACTGTTTGAGACACCAAAAGTCTTGTAAAAGAGGGAAAAGAAACCTGCATAAAMAGAGAAATTATTCAATTTCCCATGATCATTTCATGCTTTTTCCAAATTCTCATATTACTTTTTTGGCARACTCAAGGTCAATTTTATGAAGTCCGTACAAGGAGTAGACAYGTAGTAGTTACATGTTAGTAGATACAAGGAAAGGGATGGACAATTTAACGTTCCTGTAAATCTGCTCTTTAAATTCCCGCTGCCTCCAGCATTAATTAGTTCTCCTCTGTTACGTGGTTGCTAATATTTGGTGTCAGAGCTCCCAGTGCTCCACAGACCCAGCTCAGTGTAAGTTTTCACCTTGCTCTGCAYGTGACAGTGACAGATTGCTCGGCTAGACGAGTCCTCTGCTAACCCCTCGGTAATCTGTGCCYGGGTTCCTGCAAGTGAGTATTATTTCAGAGTGTGCTGAAGACAGGAAATAAATAACAAGCCTCCATCTCTTGTCTGCAGCAATTCTATCCTCTTCTGTTCCCGTTTGATGTGCTATTTCACGCACTTATCTACTGAGCAACACAAGGTGTGAAATTACACTTCAGGTGTGAAAACACTTCCATGTCTCCAAAGCAGGGCTTCCCGCTCCTCTCAAACTGTTCCACTGAGAAAGCTGTCAGGAGGCTGACAATCAAGGAGCAAATTGTGAGCCTGCACAGCTGTACAGCTATCAAGTTACTGCGGGGAAAGTTCAGCCCAGCCATGAGCTGGGGGTGCCAGCTTGGCTCTTAGTGTAACACCRGGGATGAGGAGGATCTTGCCAGTAAAGACCTACTTGTTACACTGAAAGGCAGAGCTTTGGTTTAATGTCCTGTTTGTACCTAGGAAATGAAAAAAATGTTTTATTGAGAGGTGGGTTAATTTCCACCTTAATATTCAGCACTGAGGGACTGATATGTGTAATAATTTCAGACCCATGGGAAACACAAAGCCCAAGAGAGGATCCTCTCTTCTAGCRTGACTCCATGTGGAACCAGACACAACTCCTGCAGTGTTTGTAGAGATGTCACTGTGCTTGGCACTGACAAAATACAACATGCACTGGAGCATTCCTCGCGTGTAAGTCCTGGCTGCTAGTCTAGGCTGCAGGGAACTCCCTGTAAATAAAGATAAGTAGGGGTTTTATGGATATTTTAAAATGCATTCATCCTTTTTTTTTTTTTAATCTGAGAAGGGAATTTCAAAATACTGGAGGAACTCTTCCAGGCTGATTTTTAAATGCAAACAACAGGTAATTAGTACAATTCTCTGTTTGAACTTCCAATTTGAACTTCAATTTTTTTTTTTCTTTTCACAACCAATCCAGGATTATCTTCTCATGTTGTTTTAGGGAAAGGCCCCACACACATGCCTGCATCTCTCTTTCTAAGAAGAGAKGGAGAAGATTGAGGTCTAGATTTTACTCTTAGTATATCTTGGTGTCATCCTTGCCTCTGACTTTCAGCAGTACTGGCAGCTCAGGTGGGATTCATCACACCTCACTGCGGGCACATTCCTTTGAACAGTCCCCAAAGGAGCCAACCAATCCATAACCAAAAAAAGCAGATGGAATAAATCAGCAGCGATCTAGCAGACAGTGATACCATCACAGATGATTTGGGTGTCAACACTAAAGTATCACAGCTAAAATGCTTCACAGGATACTGCTTCGGGATGTCCCAGTTAATTTTGCAGGCAATGAATGGATGAGTTTCTTACATGGATGAGTAAATTCTGGGGTGTCACATCCCTGACTGAGGCCTCAGCTTTTGCAAGTCAGGGGTAACACAGTTGGCTTTGAGGAAAATTGAGCAGCACAGCACCAGTGAGTTAAAGCCAGAAAAGTTGGCTTTTCCTTTAACACATCCCAGGTTTCTAAGTAATTCTGCACCAAAACCTTGTCTGTACAGTACCGAGGTGGGTGGGGATTCTGCATGTATCACCTGGACCAGGCTGGAAGGAGACTGTGCTCAAGGCAGAGCTAATACCAGGAGTGCTATTCACCCCCAGGAAAACACAAAACCAGAGCAAGTGACAAGTAAATCAGGCTGCTAATTCTCCTCAAATTTATTCCACTGGGTGTATTTTACCAGCCAAAAGAATCAAGCTTGCCTGAACAGAAATAAAAGAGTAGGTGTGGATCATATATTTAGCGTCTGAAATTTGCTTTGCAGAGTTGGTAGATATGAGGCTGAGCTGTTATTCTSCTTCACTAACTACATTTCAAGACTGTAGCTTTCCCTTCCTGTATTGTGCTCTTTGCAGCATCTTTTTAGGGATCTCATCAGAAAAGACAGCTTTTCTCATGGTCCAGTCTGGTCCTTTGGGATGGAAAACTCTCCCCTGCTGTTGACTTTGCCAAGGAAAACCCAACCCCACTAACAGAGAGAAATTAGCGGAGCTACAGCAAGGATGAACTTGACAATTTACTGAGGAATGAATGTGTAAGAGCATCTATTCATTATGAAGGCAAACATTTTCCATCTAATTACATGCTCAGGTTCAGTAATGGCCTCATTACCGTGGTGTTTCAGCTCTCTGTGCTCTTCAGAGTGTTTACTTTTGTAYCACCTCCATCAAGCACAAAAGGAAAAGAGAGATTAGGGCTCACGTTCTTTAAAATGCCTAAGTGCTCACATTTATTTAGGCACCCATCTCACTGACATGAAGAAGAGCGAGACCTCTTAAAATCTGGGCGTGTCTGAGACTACAGCTTGCCCACGGTTACACAAAAGTCTGTGAAGATTCAAGAACAAAGTCTAATTTTGCAGAGACCAATTTTAGCACTGCATCTACCAGGCTCTCCTTCCCGTACAGGTTTTGGAACAGAAGTTCTCACTGCGGATCATTTTTACTCTAAACTGTCTCGACTCTCTGGTACGAGTGGATCGAATGATGTTCACAAGTACAAAAAACATCAACATCCATGCATTTAATACCAGAGTGAAAAGCACTAAATCAAGGGATGCTGCAAGAAGCCAGACACATTTTGGGCTGGTGCTGCATCTTCTCACTTCAGCTCTCCTTGTGCAGATTGCTCTGTCTCCTTCCACACTGCCCAACCATCTAACACCTCTCCAGAGCTCGTCTGCAAAGGCAATCAGCTTTTCCAGGATTCTTCTAATGACCCATTTCTGTCATGATTCTTCTGAGGGAACTAACAGATAATGACAACTCCAGGGAATAATCAACCATAATTTATGCATTCCTGTTTTTGGAGCAGGGCGTGCGCTCTGCTCTCGCTTACTCTAAGTGCCACCGTTATTAATAAAGCTGACCGAGAGAAAGAGCACCACAAATACAAAAGCATCYGACCCCCTGCTCTAATTTATATTTGGAAAGGAAGTAAACAGCCAGAGACTCCTGACCCCTCACGTCTGGGGACTGCAGGCTGGGCAGATTTTCCCGGCCGCGCTCCGGGCAGGCCAGCTCATTTCCAAAAGCAGGATCACCATGTCAGCGTGCTGCAATCCACACTAATAACAGCCGCAGCAGAAGAAAGCCTTGGGCCTGGAGCTTAATTTCCCCCAGSTGGCAATCCCACGCTCCCAGCCTACACAATAAACGGCAGCCCCAGAGCCCCACGGCGCTGCTCTGTGCACGCAGCTCAACGTGAGCTCTCGGTTTGAGGCTCAGAAGGACCATTAGCCCTGGCTTTGCCTCCCCTTTAAACCAGCAGTGGGGCAMAGCACTGAACATTCACGCTCTGAACTGCTGCTGGGTCAGTAAAAATGCAGGGAGGAGAGGTAGACCCAAAACTTTTGATCCCAGCCATGAACGTCTGGGTTGAGGCAGTTTATGGCCTGCTCTATAAATCWTACAAGAGCTGAGAGCTGCCTGCTACGCTGCTGAGAAGCCAAATTTCCTTTCCTTGTTCCACCAAGCCTCTTCTTCTCAGGTTCCCTCTCTCAGGGCTGGCAGCTCTCTCTCAAAGGAAAGGCTGGGCTCTGGCAACCTTCACAACATGTGAGGCACCAGAGAACAGACCAGCAGTGCCTTTAACTTAAAATGCAGCAGAAAGGAATGTGCTGCTCCCTGGAAGCACTCTGTGGCCCAAGGGGAGGGAATTGCCAGCATCAGTGGCATGCAAGAGGGGCAGGAGGGCTCTCTGGAAGAAACTGCACAGGTMTCTCAGGAAGGAAAGCTCCTTCCCAAGCACCTTGGAGCTCTGTGTCTCAGTGATCCTCCTCTGCTGCCTCACCACCTCGTGTCCACCCCATTCCACAGCACCAGCCCTCAGCTGGGGCACATTCTAGGCTGCAGAGACAGTTCCCCACCCCTGCCCACCCCAGCACCGAGGAGGAGCAGTTTCAGTCTGGGCTGACACAGCTGAAGCAGGACATGGATACCCTCCAGACTCACAGTGTGACTCTCCTCTAGTAAGGACATTTCAATTTTTCTCCACATCAAATGGAACCTCACCAGAAAGAGCAGGGATGCCCAGCTGAGCAGAGCAATAGGCATGGACACCAACCATGGGTAC